CCAAAAAATGCCATTTAAGTATATACTTTAAATGAGTGAATTTATACTTTTTGTTTGTTTGTTTGTTTCTTTTTGAGACAGCCTCTCCCTCTGTTGCCCAGGCTGGAGTACAGTGGTGTGATCTCAGCTCACTGCAACTTCTGCCTCCTGGGTTCAAGTGATCCTCCCACCTCAGCCTTCTAAGTAGCTGGGACTTACAGGTGCATGCCACCACACCTGGCTAATTTTTGTATTTTATTTTGTAGAGATGGGGTTTCATCATCTTGCCCAGGCTGGTCTCGAACTTCTGGACTCAAGCAATCTGCCTGCCTCAGCCTCCTAAAATGCTGGGATTACAGGAGTGAGCCACTGTGCCTGGCCAATTATATACTTCAAATGAATGAACTGTATATGAATTATATGTATGTGAATTTATATGAATAAAGCTGTTAAAGGCTGGGTGCGGTGACTTATGCCTGTAATCTCAGCACTTTGGGAGGCCGAGGTGGGTGAATCACCTGAGGCCAGGAGTTCAAGACCAGCTTGGCCAGCATGGTGAAACCTCATCTCTACTAAAAATATAATCATTAGCCGGGTGTGGTGACGGGTGCTTGTAATCCCAGCTACTCGGGAAGCTGAGGCAGGAGAACAGCTTGAACCTGGGAGGCTGAGGTTGCAGTGAGCCAAGATTGTGCCACTGCACTGCAGCCTGAGCGACAGAGACTCTGTCTAGAAAGAAAGAGAGAAAGAAAAAAAAGAGAGAGAGAGAGAAAGGAAAAAGAGAAAGAAAAGAAAAGAGAGAGAAAGAGAGGGAGGGAAGAAAAAGAAAGAAAAGAGAAAGAAAGAAAGAAAGAAAGAGAAAAAAGGAGAAAGAAAGCTGTTAAAAAAAAAAAAAAAAGTGCCATTGGCCATCAGGTATGTGAGTCTAAAGCCTGAGTTGGAAATAAAGACTTGGAAGTCATCATTATGTAGATGGTAGTTTTTCTTTTTTTTGGAAACAGGGTCTCACTCTGTCATCCAGGCTGGAGTGCAGTGGTGTGACCTCAGCTCACTGCAACCTCTGCCTCCCAGGCTCAAGAGATCTTCCTACCTCAGCCTCCTGAGTAGCTGGGACTACAGGTCACACTACCATGCCCAGCTAATTTTTGTATTTTTTGGAGAGACGAGGTTTTGCCATGTTGCCCAGGCTGGGCCTGAGCTCAAATGATCCACCCACCTTGGGCTTCCAAAGTGCTGGGATTACAGATGTGACCCACTGCGCCCAGCCCTGGACAGTAGTTTAAATGTAAGAATGGATACAATCACTGAAAGAACACATAGAATGAAGGGGAAGAGAAGCTAATTGAATAAATGATTAGAGAGATAAGATAGATACACAAGGGATAATAATCATCACAACCTCAAATAGGAAAGCCCAAATAAGAAAGGGACAGTTCAGTGGTAATGGCAATTGATTTGGTGGTAATAACCATTGTGTCCACAAAACGGTACAAAAAGCAGATCGTAGAAAGAGAGGCCTCTATCCCTATAGCTCCACTAAGATGACTTGCCATGATCTGATCCTCCATTTTCCAAATCCGATGGTCAATTTTCAGTGATCTTAACCTGTTTTATGAGCAGGAATGATGGAGATTATAGGCCCTTCTTGAAGCCTTTTTTTGGTTTGTTTTATAAGACCCCTCACTTTTGAGTTTTCTTCCTATTTCCTGGCTACTCTTTTAAAATAAATTTTGTTGTATGTTCCTCCTCTCTGACCTTTATTTCGGAATGCCTCAGGATTAGAGGTCTCAGTCTTTAAACTGCTTCTCTTTTCTTCCACATTGATTTCTCTCCACCCCGTGGCTATGTATGCCATTTATAACTTAACTACTCCTTAATTTATACCTCTCACTGTCCCTTCTATGAGCTCCAGGTTCATATTTCCAATTGTTTACTCAGTAACTCCATTCGGAAATCTAATAGGGATCTCCACTTTCATATGTCTGAAGTAAAATTGGACGTTCCCCCTGCCAAAAAAAGAAACCCTTGCTCCTGTCTCCCCACATGTGCTATCTCAGTAAAGGACATCACTATCCAGTTACTCAAATCAAACTGATTTTTGTATTTTGTACTTTGACTTTTGTACTTTTTTTACTGATTTTTGATTCTTGTCTTTATCTTGTCCCCCACATTCAATCTATTAACACATCACCTCTCCACCGCTTTCAGAGTGCATCCTGAATCCTACCACTTTCATTGCAACACTCGTCTTGTAGGTCTTCTTCAGTAGCTTCCTAACTGGTCTTTTAGCTTCTATTTGGCTTCCCTATAGGGAGTTCTCAAAGAATCAACCACAGTGAACATCTTCAATTACAAATCAGATCATGCCACTCTTTTACTCAAAACCCTCCATGGCTTCCCAGCATTCTTAGGATAAAATTCAAAGTCCTTTCATTGGTCCATAAGTCGGTAAGTGATCTGGCTCCCATCTTGTTTTTCCAAACTAAGTTCCTATCTCTTCTTTTGCCACGGTGGCTTCCTTGCCAAGCACACTCAAGCTGCAGGGTCTTTACCTTGTTGTTTCTTCTGCTTGAAATGTTCTTTCCCAAGTATGTATAGCTTACTGTCTCACTTCAAACCTTTATTTAGATGTCACCTCAGCAGAGGAGCCTTCCCTGAACCCCCTATGTAAAAGAGCACACCCATCCATGTAACCCATTTTTATTCTGCTTTATTTTCCTTTACAGTACTCTTAATAACTTTATTATCTGTGTGTCTTTCCCCTCCTCCTATGCTCCCAACCCTTGCACTAGTAAGTTCCTTGAATGCAAGAATCTTGGTTCTATTCACTGTTGCAGCCCCAGCACATAGAACAGGGCCTTCCAGAGCAGGAATTCAATAAATAGTTGTTGACTGAATGAATGAAAGAATGAATAGGATGGTGGGGCATTAAATAGCTACTTTGTGCTGTAGTCCTCTTCTAGGTGTTGAGATTACGAAGATGATAAAAACATAGTCCTTGCCCTCAAGAATTTATATTCTAGTAGTATAGCTGGATTACAAATATGTAATTTTAGATTAAATGTTATAGGTAAAAAATGTTACGAAAAAAACAGTGCAGAGTAAGGGGATAGATAGAGGAGAATAATGGCATGAGGTTCCATTTTAGTTAAAATAGTCAAGAGCTGCCTGCCTTAGGAAGTAGGATTTCAATAGTCACTTCAAGTCTAGTAAAGATCTAGTAGATGAACATTCCAAGAAAAGGAAAAAACCTTAGGGCTGGGACATGCTTTGATTGGAGTGACAGTAAGGCTAGTGAGGCTAGAACAGAGCTAGGCAGTGCGGGAGGAGATGAATCAGATAAATAGGCAGGTACTAGATCAGATCATGTAGGGCCCTTCTTAGAGGCAACTGATTTTTTGATGGCCTCTAAGGCTATCATACTTTTGACTTTTATTATGTGATGGGAAGCTATTGGAGGTTTTGAACAAGGTGGGGACTGGGGAAATAATACGACCTTACTTTTTTTTTGAGATGGAGTCTCATTCCATCACCCAGGCTGGAGTGCAGTGGTGCGATCTCGGCTCACTGCAACCTCCACCTCCGGGTTCACGCGATTCTCCGGCCTCAGCCTCCCAAGTAGCTGGGATTGCAGGCACGCTCCACCACGCCGGGTAATTTTTTTTTTTTTTTTTGTAATTTTAGTAGAGACGGGTTTCACCATGTTGGCCTGGTTTCGAGCTCCTGACCTCAAGTGATCCGCATCCGCCCCCATCCGCCTCCCAAAGTGCTAGGATTACAGGCATAAGCCACCGCGCCTGGCCAGACCTTACATTTAAAAAAATCACTCTGGCTGCCTTATGTTTAACTGCAATGGCAATAATGGAAGTAGACAAACGAGGTAAGTTTCTATTGCGGTAGTCTTAAGTAATATATAATGACTTGGACTAGGAGAGTAGCGGTAGGGGAGGTGAGAAAGGGTCAGATTTTTGCACCCTGGCCTTCTGGTTGGGGAAAAAAACAAAAAAAATTCCCCAGCTTGGCAGCTGGGATTAATCCTCTGCACGGTTCCTGTAGGTGTCATAACGAAACAGAGTACAACAGTCACCCCATATCACCCGATATGGGAACCTTTACCACACCACCCCTCTTCAGAAAAGAGCCTCTGGAATAGCTACACTTAAAGCTACTGAGCCCCTTCTTTAAAAATACGTAAATGGAGACTCTCAGGGGAAAATGGGCCTCGATAGTATAGAAACCACTTAAGGAAACGAAGTCCTGAAAGGAAACGGGGATTTTCAGAAAAATCCTTGTGGCAATCATTGCTCGTTCCCAGTATTCAAAAACGGCAAAATTGGCCATCATCCAGGAGGTAGCCTGGAAATTTAGTTTATTTCTATCACAACTCTGGGAAGCCCCTAACTCGCATTTGTTTTGAGTATCACAAGAAAAGCAAGCCCGAAGAAACTACAAAAACAACTTTGCCTCTTCGGTAATGCGCACGCGCCCCTCCCTCTGTTTTCCGTTGGTCTTAAGCCCCGCCCCTTGTGCGTCCTTCGAGGAGGGTTGCGAGCCGTGAGCTCGCGCGACCACTCTTCCCTCAGTCTTCTCGAGCACATCGTCGCAAACGGGGCCGGAAAGCGTGGCAGCGCAGGCGCAAGCGCAGAGAACGGAGGCGGTGGTGGTGGTGGCGGCCGCTGGCCAGTGTAAGATGGCGGCGGCGTTGGTGGTGGCAGTGGACGGGGCGGCTGGGCCTGGAACAGTCGGAGCAGCCGCTAGCAGAAGGATGACCCAAGACGGGAAGCGGGCTGCTGAGCCTCGCCGATTCCCGTGCTTGTAACTGCCCCAGCCGGACACCCCCCCCCTTGACCTTACCCGGTCTGTGTCTCGTTCCGGCTCGGCCTGCCCCCTCTCCGCTCCCCAGCCGGTTTCCCTTAAGGATGGGCCTGACCCCTTTCCCAAGCTCTTAGCGCTCAGGTCTTTTCCTTCCGCCGACCCGAAGTCATCGCCGGGAATACTGGTTGTCCTTTCCTCAGGTCAGCCCTGGGGTTGCCCCCAAGAGCCAGCCCCACAGTTCACAGGGACGCCTTGCTTCGTTGGGTGACCCATTTGTGCGCTCCTATTTCTCCCCTTAGATTGAGGGACATGGCTCGCCCTGCGTCTCCCCCTCACCTCAGGGCCACCGCGCAATGGGTCCCCCTCCCCCATCCCAAGTTCCCAGGCCCAGCACTTTGTACGGAAGGCGGAGGTCCAAGAATCCCGGAGTCGGTTGTTGCCTTGTGGTCTTGTACCCTTTGTGTTATAATTCTCTTAGTTTACCTCCTCTAACTCCCAAATCTTTTAGGATATCTTAGAACGGTCCCATTTGGTCCCTGTTAGTTGGAAAGCATCTGGTGGCTTGAATTTCTGACTCATGATTGTTACTGGAGTCTCTGTAAACAAACCGGCACTAGCGCTATCACATTCTCTCCGGGATTTCCCCCTCTGCCCTGTGGCTTCTTGTTGAGAGGTTGTTTGGTTATGGTTTAGCGTTGAAAAGATTCAGGTTATCCTTTTAAATGACTTTACGTTTTAGTGGAGCTGGGAGATTACTTGCCTGGCTTCTAATCTTCATGTTCGTTCATTTTATTTCCATATGCGTGTAGGTTATTCAGTAATTAGAATTAGATAAATTATTCTGCTTTTAAATAGTTTTGAGAAGGCCTAAACATACTGAAGTGTATTCATAAATATTTTTATTATGTTCAGTAGAAGACACACCTTTGCCATGTAAATTTTAACTTTTCTCAGTCCTTCAGTGAATCGACAGACCTATTTTCTCAGGAGCTCAACCTGGCCTTACTTCAGTGATAAAAGGAGGAAAGGTGAGTGGGAGTTGGAGGCATTAAAATTCTTGAGTTCAAGACAGACTACCCTGATGCTCAGCTGCTGACCACTACAGTCATAAAATTCCTACCAGTTTCCCAAAGAGTTTGGGTGTTGTTCTTGGCTTTGTTCCAGCTCTGGTTGAATTACTTTTACAAGTTTAATTGTCTGTGGGCTTCTTGTCTTTCCGTCCTAAACTATTGCTGTATGTCTTCAAATGACTTATGCCTAGGAGTGAGTGCGTGCCCCCTACCCCATGTCTTCTTTTCTTCTTTATTCATTTTCATTGTATTTTGTCTGTGTGTCGATCATATTTCTTACGTTGTTAAAAACTGGAACTTAGTTAGCCTGCGTTCTGTTCAGCCTGTTGTCAAATCAGATCTCTTCCCCTCTCACAGCTTTGGGTTGTCATCCCTTGGTATTTAGAGGAGAATATTTAGCTGCTTGTAACTAAAAGCTGGGGAGTGATGAGTGATGCTGCTTTTAGTTGGTGTCTGAGTCCAGTCTATTTCAGAATTCCGACTTTTTAGGATATAGTGGGAAATTTTTTGTAAAAAAATAAATAAATAAATAGTGGCTGCTCTTTCTTTTGTAGCTGGTCTGAAGAATTCTTGGTTAGCAGAAGAAACATCCTGGGCATTCAGCAGCATGGGTTGGTGCCAAAAAGGGCGTCAGAACATACTTATAAATGCAGTTTTCCTAAAGCTTTCAGGTTTCTGGTAGCAGAGACTGGAGGCTTATGGCATGTGACAGAAAAGCTAAGTGACTGGAAGGCAGGTCTGGCTGATTCCTAATATCTTTATGATTTGTAGTGGGAAAAGATTGAGTGACGCTGGTGAGTTTTATTCCATTTGATGACTGAATTAGAAAACGCTAATTATGTACTGGAATAAAATGATTAGTGATGGTGTGTATGTGTATCAGTAAGATATAAAGAGAAAAGGACAGTCTTTAGAGATTGGACAGACTTTTAATTTAATTTTAAGGTTTAAATACTAGACTAATATTTCTTAGCCATGTGACCTTGAGCAAGTTACTTAAACTTCTCTGACTCTTAATTTCCACAACTCTAAAAGTGTGATAATACTGCTTACCTCCCAGGGTCATTGTTAGTATTATAGGGAATCTATTTAAAGCTCTTAGTAATCTAAGAGCACGTGGTACACACTAAAAAAAGTTTTGTTTTTTTCTGCATATCATTGATATAGCTTTGAATAAGTTATACATCAATTTATGCTTCTTTTACATTTCGCCTTAAAACATATTTTACTGGTTAATTTTCCCAACAGATTTTTAATTGATCAACTTAGACGTGTCCTTTGTAAGTGCCCACCTAGAATTGTCTTCTGAACATGAATCCCCTGGTGGGGGTTCATAACCAGAGGACAGAATATTAGATATTGGTGTATGTATATTTCAAAATGTATTCTTAAACATCAGTAAATTTTTTTGTTCATTGGTTCCTTCTTCTTGGTCTCTCTGTTAGCACACCTGATCAGAGTTGGCAGTGTTGCAATTCTTTCCCTTTCTGCTACAATGTTGTTTACCTCTCCTGCAACTACCCTTTATACTTTCCTTTTTTGCCATGAAGGGAATACTTTTTTTTCCTTGTTGTTGGGCTGTACAGTGATCCTCATCAACAAATTATCAAATAACTGTGTGAGGAGAAGGTTTTCATTTCTTTTTAAAGTGAATCAGGGCTAGGGAGTTAGGAATGAAGAGGGTTTTTTTGGTTTGTTTTTCGTTTGTTTGTTTTTGAGATGGAGTCTCGCTCTGTTGCCAGGCTGGGATGCTGTGGCGCGATCTCAGCTCACTGCAACCTCCAACTTCCTGGTTCAGATGATTATCCTGCCTCAACCTCCCGAGTGGCTGGGATTACAGGCATGCGCCACCTTGACCAGCTAATTTTTGTATTTTTAGTAGAGGAGGGGTTCCACCATGTTGGCCAGGATGGTCTCAATCTCCTGACCTCATGATCTGCCCGCCTTGGCCTCCCAAAGTGCTGGGTTTACAGATGTTAGCCACCGTACCCGGCCAAAGAGTTCTTTTTTCAGCTCCACAGCTGGACCATCTTAATAATATGACAGCACAGATGAAGAGTTTTAAACCCTTTGTTGGCTTTTCTTTCACATCTTTTTGGCAAGGGCACATGAAAATTAAGTACTGATAATATCACAATGAAAGCGGCTGTGTCTTTCAGACCAGTGATCAGTTTAGATTTGATGAACTTTTAACTGCCATCATCCGGGGTCTGAATTCTCCATTGTAAGGTAAGGACTCTTCGGGGTGGTGGTGAGATGGGTTGAGATTGCATTTGTATCATTTGTGTTTTTATGAACTCTGAAGATCCATGTCGGGTGACGGAAAGGGTGGGAGGAGAAAAGAAAATACTTTGAAAGGGATAACTTGGACTCTATTTCCTTATGTGCTGGGTAAGAATCCCCAGGTAACATCTGTGTATAGTAAATCAGTATTTCTAGTCTGTGGGCCACACTGTAAACTTTTTGTCTTCTAAAGTTTTTTTTTATTTTTGTTTTTTGTAGAGATAGAGTCTCACTTTGTTGCCCAGGCTGGTCTCAAACTCCTGGGCTCAAGTGATCTTCCCACCTCAACTGAGTAGCTGGGACCATAGGCATATCACCATACCTAGCTAATTATTTTTTTTTTTTTTTAGAGATGAGGTCTTACTTGCCCAGCTCGTCTCAAGTGATGCTCCCATCTTGGCCTCCCAAAGTGCTGGGATTACAGGCATAGCCACAGCACCCAGCTTGAAGATATTTTTATATTTCCAGGGTTTTAGGTGTTTACTTAAGAATTATGACATCTTATTAGGTAGTATTTCCTAGGATGGTTGGAGTGGAAGGCTAAGAAGAATGCTTGTGACCTTTTAGTTCTCACCACCAACCTCTTAAAGTGCAGTCTATTTATTTATTTTTGAAACAGGTTCTCACTCTGTCACCTGGGGTGGAGTGCAGTGGCACCATCATGGCTCACTCCAACCTCGACCTCCTGAGTTTAGGTGATCCTCCCATCTCAGCCTCTCGAGTAGCTGGGACTACAGGTGCATGCCACCATACCTGGCTAATTGTTGTATTTTTTATAAAAATGAGGTTTCACCATATTGCCCAGGCTGATCTCGAACTCCTGGGCTCAAGCAGTCCTCCTGCCTCAGCCTCCCAGAACAGGATTACAGGCATGAGCCTCTGCGTCCTGCTACGTGCAGTCAATTAAATGTATAAAAATCTGCCAGGCCAAGTGCGGTTGGCTCATAGCTGTGATCCCAGCACTTTTGGGAGGCCAAGGTGGGAAGATCACTTGAGCCTAGTTGTTCAAGTCCAGCCTAGGTTATGTTGAGACCTCGTCTCTACAAAAAGTTAAAAAGATAGCCAAGCATGGGGCAAGTACTTGCACTCCTATCTCCTTGGGAGGCTGAGGTGGGAAGATCGAGTCCAGGAGTAGAGGCTGCGGTGAGCTGAGATTGCACCACTGCACTTTAGTATGGGCAACAGAGCGAGACCTGGTCTCAAAAAAAAAAAGAATCAGTCCCGGTGCCATGGTCCTTAGTGTTGAGTAGGACCAACCTAAGACAGAAGCTTGTCTACGGAGAGCTGAAAGAAAGCAGCCTCTTTGTTGCCAGTTTAAAACAATACTGACATTTTAAAAACAAACAGATTCTAGTAAGGAGACATTGTATAGAAGCGCACCCTGTTGTGAAAGACTGGGATCTTGAGTTTCATCCTCTAAGTCTTGTATTCTATCAGGTAACTTATAGACTTCTAAAATCATAAAGTGACTATTAAAATGCTTTCAGTAGATAGATTCATTACTCCATTATTTTTGCTGTAGAAAAGTTTATTCTAAACATGTCTAGGAAATACCCAGATTATAAAAGAGAAATAACGGTATCCACACAGGACTTTGTATTGCATAACATTGGTGTTAGAGTTAGTTTTTAAGTCTCTGAGACTGAGTTAGCTTTTTTTTTTTTTTTTTTTTTTAAAGCAGATTATCGGTGAGGTAAGATAATCTGCTGTTTACCCTCATCTGTTTGGAACGCAGGCAACTGAATTAATTGAATCAGCAATAGGCATGGAGTGGTGACTTTATATATTTTCATTTTAGAGCCAAAAGCCATTGAGTTTTAGCTTAGCTTTGTAGTAGTATTAAAACTTCATCTTTTATTTTCATGAATGTACCCAAGAAAAGTCATTGCTGTTAAAATCAGTCAGAAAAGGAGGCTACTTGCTCTTTATTGATTTAGTCATTCTGCTCTTGGAGTGAGTAGAAAGTCTTTGAAAGCTTTTCAAAAATTGGTGAGTGATGAATTTTATGAATTAGTCACTTCTTTGTAGCAGGTTTTTTTTTTTTTTTTTTTTTAATCTCTACCTCTACGGGACATAGTTCCTGGGCCAGAAGCCAGATTTCTCAAGTACCACCTAACCTCAGAAATGTGTTATGATACAGATAAATTAATGAACGGAGGCTGCCTTGAGGTTGCCAGTAGGGCACTGGGGAGTAATTAATATGACAAAGATGGCATCTTATTAATGAAATGTATTAATAGTATGTCTAGTGGATTGGGTCATTGCGAAAATTCTCATCATTGTATCTGAGATTAGATATTTGCTATTTATCCTCTGAAGATACTGTTTAAGGAAGTCTGGCCAAGTTCTGAAGTTAAGCATACATATTTGCCTCACATGCCTTTTTTTTTTTTTCTTCCTGGTTTTTTCTTAGCCATCTGGAAAGCTACTATAGGGTTTACCTCTAGTGGTAGCCAAGTGACTGTATTCCTCTGGTGTACTTTAATCATTGGCACATTACCAGGTATGTGTTGGTAACCTTACTTAGGATCCAACATTAGACCCTTTCTTCTAACCTAACCTGTAGGAAGGCACTTCTTGATGTTTTAAGCCTCTCTTCACTGTTTTATTGTAAGTTGTACCTTTGGAGCATCATTTTTTCATCTTAAATCCTCTCCAGCAATTTAAGAAAAATT